TATAATTTAGTTCAATTGCTTTTCCCATTTGCTTTTAATTCCTATAATACATGAACTCAAATGAGTTCCGTTTTCTAAATATGAAAAAAATTCAGCATCATTTATCATTATTAGGCTGGTGCACTTGACAGCATTCATTCATGTGATTTTGCATTATTGAATTTTTTTTTCCTTTTTGAAAGATAATTTTAAAAGCACTACTGGCTTATGAGAACATTGTTGCATTGGTTCATCTTTATTTTCCCTGGCATTTTAGACTATAGTGAAATTTGCATATAATTTTAATTAGCTCCTTTATAATGTCGTTAATATTCATAGCTACGTTAAGATGCTCTTTTTCTTTTTTTGAACAGGACTGTATCTTCCACATGTCCGATAGGAAATCTCTGTGTTATTCCTACATTGCAAAGTATTGTGAATGCCTATAAAACCAGAACCTGACTATTAAATCAATCAGAAGATGGATTATTTACAACCGTTTCTTAAATTGTAGCTTGAGTATATGACTGGATACACTTTTTCTTCCTTAGAAATAATTTCAGTAACATAAATTCCTAGAAGTGGCTGTTTCAATGACAATGCATCTTTACAGCCTCTTGAGATTGCTACACTGTCCCACTAAAAGGCTGTTTCAGTTAAAAATCCTCACCAGCAGTTTGGGAACTTGCCAAGCTGTGAGTAGTTGTTAGTTTCCACACACATAGAGTGGGGCATGTCTGTGGGTGACCTTGCCTCTCCCATAAGACTGTCTGGCCTCTGCTGGCCAGCTTTCATCCATCAGGCCCGAAAATGGTCGTGGGGCGATGGGAAGAGTATCAGGCTCTTGCCTTGGTGTCAGTAGCTAGGTTTGGAGTTACCAAGTTGACCCTCAAGTATCCTTGGGTCTGCTCATACATGGTCATCCTCTCCTTGACAACAAGGTCTTCTGCAGAAGAGCAATATGTCTTCACCTTAACATAGAGATACACAGTTTGTACTGCTCAAATGAATCAATACAAGCATCACAGAAGCAGCAAGACTGTGGAAGAGTCTTGGTTGGGGTAGAGAAGATGTGAAGTCAGTCACCTACTAGGCATATACTCTTCCACAGGTCACTAAAATAATAAGGAGCTCAGTTTCTCATGTGTAGAATTGGAATTCTAGATGGTACAAGCCATTAAAGGGCCTTGTAGCACTAATATCCTGGTTCTATGCTTTTTAGCCATAGAAAATTATTCTAAAGAAGGATAAAAAGTGGAAGGCTAAGGATAGCAGATATTTAGTCTGGGCTTGAGTAGAGGACATTCTGTCAGTTGAAGGGACAATCTGAATCTACTTAGTTGTAAAAGGGAAGACAATTCAATGCAAAATACAAACTGCAGCTCAAAGAATAGTTGAATGAGTATTAGGGCAAAAGAAGAAAATAAATCTCTCTTTTTAAAAAAATTTTAATGTTTTATTTATTTATGAGGGAGAGAGACAGCATGAGCAGGGGAGGGTTGGGAGAGAGGGAGACACAGAATCTGAAACAGGCTCCAAGCTCTGAGCTAGCTGTCAGCACAGAGCCCAACATGGGACTTGAACCCACTAACTGCGAGATCATGACCTGAGCCGATGTCGGACGCTTAACCGACTGAGCCACCCAGGCGCCCCAAAAGAAGAAAATAAATCTCTAAATAAAAGAGTCAACGTGCAAAGTTATTTCTGCCTGTAGGCGAAGGAAAAGTTCTAAATTATATCTATTCAAAACATTACATCAAGTTCTCCTTCCTAGTCCCCATGAGAGAAATTATGCAAAGTATTGTTTTGAAAATGATTATATCAAGATATAAAATTTCTGGAAACTTAACAGCAAGCCTAACATTATTCTGTGTATGGGAAACGTGGCTCTTAAAGTTCCAACAGATAATTAGTAAATGTGATCACTCAGGAAAATGTGTCAGGAAAATTTGGTAAATGATAACGAAACATGAAGAACAAATTTATTTTTTCATGATGAATAAGAAGATATTCCCTTTCCTGAGGCATCTGGGTAGCCCAGTCACACTCAATAGAGTCTTGATTTCAGCTCACTTCATGATCTCACTGTGGTGGGATTGAGCCCCATGTCAGGCTCAGTATGGAGTGTGGAGCCTATTTGGGATTCTCTCTCTCTCTCTCTCTCTCTTTCTCTCTTTCTCTCTTTCTCTCTCTTTCTCATTCTCTCTTTCTCTCAATCTCTCTCTGCCCCTCCTCCATTTGTTCTCTCTTTCAAAAATAAATAAGCTTTAACAAAAAAAATAAAGAAAATATTCCCTTTCCTGTCGGGTTCAATTCATAAAGCCCAATGTATAGAGTAAAACAACATGATATGTGTATTTTATTCCTTTGTTCCTAAAATAGTTGTATGGCATTTATCCTAAATGTCTATGTCCTTAATTATTTTAAAAATGGTTTATGTAGAATATTCTATCAGATAAGACAATTAATTATTCCAGTAAACATTTCTAGGACCTTTGATATTTATTAAGCACTGTTCTGGAGTTTCAACAGTAGGGGAGATTTAAAAGAATTCAGACCAGTTAGGTTAGCTGGGTTGTAGCTTAGTAAATGTTTGTTCAGTGACTGTAAACAAAGACATCACTCTTGTCCTTTACAAGGCTTATTCTTACTTAGTAGATTCTATAATTATACAGTTACTAACTCAACTTTCTGAAATAGTTTTTTGAAAAGAAAAAACACACCTGAGAATGCTTTATGGTTACATTATCTTACTGTACAAAATAAAAGAAAATGAGAAGTAAATGCTAATGTTTCACCCTCAAATACCACTTAAACAAACATTTCATCTTGCATGTTCCATTGTCATTATTTCTTGTCAATGACTCTAAATGTGAATATTGGTTTGCTATAGTCATTTACCTAATTACTTTATATACAGAAATTATGAATAGGTATACATATTCATAGTTTTAATATAAAGTTTGTTGAGGACTTTAAGCTAAAGAGTATGTCAGAACTGCACAATTCTACAATTTTACTACAATAAAGACAAAGAAGTTTTGAAGTTGGAAAGAAACTTCCAGTTCAACTTCACAATTTACATATAAAAAAATTCAATGATTTGTCCCTAAATTAATCTAAATTTGTTTGCATCACAAATGGTATTACAAAAGTCACTGCTCTGGACTATTCCTTGTTTTATCCATTAAGTCACTCATAACATACCCAGTAGTCTACCCTAAATAAATTTTCAATTCCCTTGACTATAAATTTAAGAAATATGGAATAACCTGGCTTCATTTAAGCAAGTGAGTGAGTTCTATAGTATTATACGAAACATGATTAATCATAATACAATCTAACTTTGTTAGTTATATAGGGAAAAAAAAGTAATTCACTATCTAAAGCATTTTATGTTGAATATTTTACTTGCATTCATTATATCACTCAACAGCAAATAGGGTGGATATTGCACATAATGCTGCTTATATTTTATTATTTATTTATTTATTTATTTATTTATTTATTTATTTATTAAGGTGCTTACATTTTACAGCTGAGTGGAGGAATACACTTGCTGAGTGACTGGGCAAGTTTAAAAATTTTCTTGTTATGTGAAATTAAATTTAAAACCCAAGTCATAGGATTTCAAGTTAGTGTCTAGCCTAGAGTTCTTGAAACATTGGCTTCATACAAATGAACTCCCTATGAAATAAGGGTCTAACTTTCAGCACATTTCTTTTCAAATGAACATCATACACACAGCTAGAGGCAGTGTAACCAGAAATACATTTTATCTGTAATTGTGCATACTAATATGTTTTAATGAAACCAGTGGAAAAGTTAAAAGTAAACTTATTCATTTTGAAAATCTGTCATTGGTAGAACAAAAGCAAACACAGACTCATTCGAATTCAGAAAGCCCAAATTCCATCCAGAGAAAAGGGAGTTAAAATTACTTCCCACAGTTGTCTCTCTGGTTGAAGGCAAACCTGTACTGCATCTAGAGGGACAGTTAATGACTCACTACATACACTAATAATTTGCTGCACATGAAAAGATTTTCTCCAAAGAATCATAACTAGTCACTGCTGCAGCAGAAAACTTAGTTAATTCCTTGCAAGGCTTTTTTTTTTTTTGCTGGACCGAATTCTAATTGTGTTTATTTATGTTACTATTTGTTATGCCCCAGGTATAACTGTACACATCATTCACAGTCTTTCTTCCCTAAAAAAGTGGAAGCTTTATTCATGAGGGTGTAAGACCTCACAACTCACTGCTGTGTTTAGGTACAAACAAACAAACAAACAAAAAAGCCTGGTCTCAGACCTCCAGAAGGAGATGGGGTGAAATGAAAGAAACAGGTCATCCTGAGAGCATCACTACCCAAGTAGGTGTGAATGATATTTTCTGTGAGATCAGGTAAAGTAGTTAAGACAATAGAGCAAATAAATTAATGTTGGTAGAATTACTATGTGTAATTGTTTCCTTTAGTGTCTGGGAGGAAAGAAATCAATGGATTTCTTCCAAAAATAATTCTTTAATTGAACAACAGCAATTTTTCTTAATGTAGCTATAATTGAATATTTATTTAGAAGCAAATTGAGATCTTGTGCAAATGAAGAACAAAGCATGCATTCCCAGTCATCATGACACTCCTTTAATTTCCTGTAATGCTGATGAACAGTACCATTAAGTGCAAATAAAGAGAGAAGACAGATTAATTTTAAAACGACCCATTCTATTACAGAGACTTCACTTTTTTCTTTTTCTTATTTTTTTTCTCAGTCTTAAGGCAAGTCATGATTAGTTACAAAAGAATTGCAGGGCTATAATCAGAGACCAAAATTGTCTTTTCTAGTTGTTTTGAAGTGCATAATATGCTAATAAGCTGTTCATTAAATTGGTATTTTCTATTTAATTTAAGAAAGGCCCTTTGTATTAACAAAGCTTGTTTGACTATTTTCATGGAATGGGCTATAATCACATTTTTGGAATAATTTACAAAGATTATAACAGCTTATTACTTCATGGCTTACCTCAAAGTGGGCAAAATTAGATCTAAGTTTTTGTATAGGACTGCTCCAAGAACAAATACTGATGATTCATCTAATTCTAGAAGGAATGAAATTAAAAATATTAGTGAAATTACAAGAAAAATACTGTCTTATAAAACTTTAATCTGCTCATTACAAGGGGATTCCAGTACTTGCTGATGCAAAGCCAAATAGAAGAAATGTCTTCTTAACCACGCATGGGGCAGATTAGCCCACACACCATACATCTTAATGGTAGCTCTTAAAGACGTGTTTTCAGTGGCTTTGTGTCTTATGAAGTAACCTTCCTTCACCAGGTTGAGATCAGAGGCAGCTGTAGGAGCTCTGAAGCTTCAGAGACAACTTTATTTTGGAGTTCTAAGTTACAAGGTCAAGATCTCCAAGGTAAGAATCAAGACTACAATGTCACTGTTGAAAGCCATTAATTTCAGAGGCTTCTAAAGATGGTCTTTAAACTTAAAATTTTTCTTAAATTTTCTTTTATATATCAAAATAGTATCTACAAACCAAAGCAAAAGTGAGGAAGAAATTAAAAATGACTATGGAAAATTGTATGTTTCCATCCCTCAAATTAAAATATTAAGCCACATGCTTTATATTGGGATAAAACTGACATTACTGAAACTTCACTACGTGAAGTTCAGATCTATAATTTGCACTTTTTTTCCCATTTTAATAGCTCCTTTCCACCAGTAAATTCAGATTGAAAGACTATATGTAAGTTTTCTATATTTACAAAATTAGATTAGAATAATGACTACAGACTAAGTTGTTTAAGAAAGGTAGATTTATAGCTAGCATACTATTAAATGACTTTATTAGAAATGTTTTGTTCAAAGTTCAAATTATTTCACATATTTACCTTTTGATGATACAGGAGTAAAAATGCTTTTTGGAATGACTACCCTATCTTCTGAGTTTCTTGCCCAGTCAACCATCCCCTTCCGTCCTTTCATAGGGAAGTTGATGTCTGTTAGAACAGATGCTGCGGGAAGCTTCTGAATGCTAGCCACTATTAGAAAAGAAGTAATAATGTTAATGAAGATCTTTCAGTGGAATCAAAATTGATCAAATTAAACCTTGCAATATATTCAAAATAAAATTTTGAGACAAATTACATTTATCAGAACTACAAAACAGACTTATTTCCTAATATTAGACAATCTTCATTAAGGTTGTCAATTCTTTTACTTATCAATTTAGATTTCTATTGCTTTCCCCAGGAATCATACATTGATGGTCAATGGAGTGTGTTCTGAGTGTAGCATGTACTGTTTGCGGTTGTTCATAGTTGACCTCCTTTCCAATTGTTATAAGTTCATACTGTATTTTTTACTAAATATTTTGATTAACACACTTGATCCATAGGTTGAAATTTGTGTTTAAATCAGAATTTGTTTTTCAGAACAAATTTTCTGCATTTACATGTGAATGTTATCTTTCGAAGAAATTTTTTGTGGATTAAATGGGGTACCATGAAGGCTTGGAAAGCAAATGCATATTACTCTTGGAGACAGATCTGTCATAGTCCAAATAATAAAGGACCAGTAAGGCTATAACCACAGATATGCAAACATTTTTATCAAGTAGATTAATAACAAAAACTTTTTAAAACATCCCCCCATAATGGAAAGTAATAGATGGATACTTTGAATGGAGAATTGTGTCTTTACTTGCAATAAATAAGTAGTTTAATATATATTAAAAAAGTCATAAATGATATATTTGGTAATGCCTGATTTTTTTTATTACATCTAACAATTACATATGCACACATATATACATATAGAATAAAATTATAATGATACTAAGTACTTATGAATTACATATATTTTTCAATTAAGAAATGTAGTTTGTACAACTTTTACATAGGTTCATACTTGTTCTACCTGAAAGTTTCAGGTATCTCATGCAATATTTATATAGAAAGACAATGAAAAAAACTATAGAAGCTATTACAGTAGTAAGCTAATGTAAGAAACCATTCAGCTCCTCATAAGTGGATTTCTTTCTGAGGAAACTTGTAATTTAAATCGAGAGAATTGAAATTAAAAATTTAACAATATTAGTTGTATAAATATATTGCAACACTGGCTTAGTTCCAAATTGAAATGGTTATGTATTATTGTACTTTACTAAAGCTCTTTTGGCTATTATAGACATCCATTATCAGCATAGGATGAAAATTCATTTGGCCTGTAACTTGACATAATAAGCTTAAAAAAGGATTTTGTTACTAATGTTGAAAGAAAGAGGGTGCTGGGTAAGACATAAATTAGTTATGGATGTTACATGCTGTTTTTTGGATAACAGCTGTAACTGCTTTGGTTTCTTTAATTTTTCAAACAGTATAGTCTTTGTTGTCCTAAATAACACATTCACATGTCCTAAAAGGTCCAAATCCTCCACTGGAGATAGATGGACAGGTTAGCAAGTTGGCAGCACATTCTTTCTTGATGGTCCTGTAAGATTAATCAATCTGCAAAACTAAATTCATTTACTTCCAAATTCCTTGACTCTCACTTTGGTTTTCTTGGTATTTAGAGGAAATTTATTTCACCTCTTTGCTCTAAAAACTGATGAAAAGAAATGAAGTTTTTTCTGTCACACATTTGGTTTCTGTTATAAAGGAAAATAAACAAGAGATAAATTGTTGGACCCTGAAGTCTAATAATTCCTCTGTTACTATATACCTTGGCTTGGATAGAAAACAAAAAAACAAATGACCAAAAAGAAGCAATACAAATGGAGGAAGCACTTTCTTTACCAACTCTATCACTTTATCCTGAATAAGTTCTAGTCTAATGCCATGTCCTTAAATATACAAATATGATATAATTAAATGTACATGTATCTCACATTATGAAATGCATTCATTCTTCATTGGCTATTAACTTATGACTGTATATGTTAGACTGTCCTTCTGAACATAGTCTAGATTAAAGAACTATAAAAATCAATTAGGATCAGTATTTAATTAGTGCAAAAAGTCCTATAATTGCAGTCTTGATCATAAGGAGTACATAAAAGCAAACATTCATTGATCTTAGAAGAAATGTAGTTTGTAAATTAAGATGATATTTTCAATAAATGTAATATAAAAAGGATATAACTTCATAGACTGATGAGATTCAAATGCTAGTCTTCAAATGTTTAGTATACATGTTCTTTAAAATATGAAGTACTTAAAATTGCACATCTTTATCTTAAAGCTACCTAGGAAGATGCCTTAGATGACACTGTGGTTCTTCATGATCCTGACATGATTAACAAGAAAACCCATTTCCATACAGCAAAAATAGTTCAAAGATGACTTACTTCCTCCTTTCAGTTCCCATAGCAGACACTTGGACCAATCCAATCCTCAATCCCTTCCCTCTTTCACTGAGTTTAAGTGTTCAAAACCTTTAGGTAAAACTTAGATGCAGTCTGTAGGGAACTGGAAAGCTCTGATGTTAAGTGAATACCAAAGAGGCAGGATTAAAAGTGAATCCTTTAAACCATGCCAAGTTTATACAAATATATGTCCAGTGCTGACACAGGAACATAAACGCAAAGCATAAGTGCACAGTCTACCCTCTGTTTCTGCAGTAATTGCCGCATTAAAACCAGTCATTGTGGGTGGTTAGATAATAGAGCATCTTTCCTCAAAAACTGAGAAAATGCCTTTTGTACAGAAGATTAAAGTGCTTAGGCAAAACCACAAAGGACACAGTGTCCCTGAACAAATAGGCACATCTCAAATGCTCCAAGAATTATCCTAAATTCACTGTATCGTGTTTTCATTACAACACTAGATTTGATTTCTTATGCAATAAAAATAGGTGACTCATCACTGATAAACCTTGGAGCAAAACCAGCTGCACTTTCATTTTGCAATTTTAAAACTTTCATTTTGAGTTTGGATATACAGCATAAAACTCCTCCTCATAAAAAAGCATAAGGAATCCTTGCAGATTCTAAAAGCACATCAGCTGTTTTTTGTTTGTTTTTGTTTTTCTTTTGGTTCATCAAAGCAGGGTGGAGCTTCGAACTTGTCTCTGAGAAAAATCATGACGTTTTAGTGCTTTGCCCCATTTGAGGTTCTGGAGAATGGCAACTCTGTTGTGTAATGTCACGTCAGGTAATGTGAATGGCCCACATACAAAAGCCGGGGTTAGTTAATGACGCATCAGTTGCATCATGGACAAGAATGGAAGGCACATAAAAGGAAAAGGCAGGAGAGAGCCAAAGTACACGGATGAATGCTGGAGGGATGAGCAAAATGGACAAATGAGGGCTAATTTAGGACAACCAGTTTCCCAGAATGGCTTAAGTCTGGACTCTAAATCTGGGCCTGGGATTCAAATCCTAATATTTTAGAGTATAATATCCTATTTGTTTGGGGGATTTTTTTGGCCAGTCCCAGTTTATCTTTGCTGTTTTGTGGTAATTATAAGAAGCATCCCTCCCAAAAGGCTCCTTTCAGAAGATAAATTTCATGTTCATTTTATAAGTTGTATGACACTGGGCAAATTGCCCAGCTTTTCTGTGTCTCAATTTTTTTCTTCTGTAATATGGGGATATTATCCATGTCACTGAGATGTTGTAAGATGAAACTGGGTACTATGTATCAAGAGGTAAGAGTCAGGTGCCTAGAACAGTGCCTAGAATAGTACATGGTTATGCTATGTGTTAGCTATTTTTATTAGAGTAGGTTTTCCCATAATCAAATCAAAAGGAACTACCTCACTGTGTATTCCATATTGCAAAATATGTAGCTTTTGCATCAAACATTATTTTTCTAAAAAAATTTAAGGTTTACTTTTGAGAGAGAGCGAGAGTGAGAGAGAGACAAAGCACAAGCAGGGAGGAGCAGAGAGAGAGAGGGAGACACAGAATCTGAAACGGGCTCCAGGCTCTAAGCTGTCAGCACAGAGCCCAATGCACGGCTCGAACTCACAAACTGCAAGATCATGACCTGAGCCGAAGTCAGACACTCAACCAACTGAGCCACCAAAGCACCCCTCAACATTCCTTTTTGATTGTGCTTCAGTGACTTTAAACATGAGATTATATACTTAAAACTTTATGTTGAAAATATATACAGATAGCCAAAGGTAGGGGTTGCACTTAAAATAGAGCTCATCCTTCAGTATTTAAATGTGCCACCTAAGGAGCTAAGGGTTCCTTCTTACTCGTTCATTCTCTTTCCTTCCTTCCTTCTCTCTCTCCCTCTCCTCCCTCTTCTCTGTCTCCTTCTCCTTCCTGCTGCTGCTTCTTCTGCTTCTGCTGCTTCTTTACTTCTTCTTCTCCTTCTCTCTCTCTCTCTCTCCCTCCCTCTGCCTCTGTATCTCTCTCTCTGTCTTCCTCTATCTCTGTCTCTGTTTCTATCCTTCTCTCTTCTCTCCCTTTCCTTTTTCAATAGAATATGCCAGAGGGAAGAGATTGGCTTTCTCTGGTTATTTGGCCACACAGTCAGTCAGGTTAAAAAATCTCAGTTGGAAAAGAAATTGACTGCATCCTAGGTGACAGATTCAGTATTCCCATTGCAACCAAGGCCAGAGTCTGCAAAGAGAACTTCAAAAGCACTACTTTTATGCAGTGACCTAAGTACTTCGTGCAGCCATTCACATTGTACAAATGAGTGGAGGAAACTCCCAAGCAGGGGAAGTTTATCATCATAAACAAAAGTGTAGATGAATACAGAAAAAGAAGTGTAAGAGATGCCTTAAAAGGGATATTGATGTTTCCAAAATATTTAAAGTTTGTATCATTTTTCATGTTGATTCAGAGGGAACAACTTACAAATTGGGTCTTGACACATCAATATGAGAAAATTGGCTAGTTATCAAAATGGATTTGCCTATGGAAAATATCACTCAGTGTTACTAGATGGTTGCCCACAGTTTTGATATCCCATATGAAAAATATGGCAAGAAAGGAAGTATGCACTGCATCAGTGTGTTAGAAATCAACAATTTGTTTTGTTCGTGTACTTATGGCAAGCACAGAGGGGCTGAGCAAAGCCTA